CGTTCCAGGCGCTGGAGCTGCCCTTCCTCCTCCTGGAGCTGTTCTTCCTGGTATTGTCCATCCCGCTGCTCCCGGCGCCTCCTCTTCTCCTCCCGTTCCAGGCGCTGGAGCTGCTCCTCCTCCTCCTGGAGCTGCTCTTTCCCCTGGTACTGACTGTCCCGCTGCTCCCGGCGCCTCCTCTTCTCTAACTCCGCACGCCTCTTCTCTACCTCCTGTTCCAGGCGCTGGAGCTGCTCCTCCTCCTCCTGGAGCTGTTCTTCCGCTCTCAGCTGCCTCTCTCTTTGCTCCCGACGTTCCTGCTCAGAGGCCTTGGCATAGAGTCGGTTTTGGCGTCTCTCGGCTTCTTCCTCCGGCAGCCACTGGACTTTGAGGTCGCGGCGCCGCTCCTCCTCTTGCCGCTGCCGGTCTCGTGTCTGTCGCCGACGAGCCTGCTCCTCTTCGCGTCGCTGTCTTTCCCGCTCCTCCTGGAAGCGATCGTCGACGTCCTCATCCCGCAGCTGACCGAACCTGTCCTGACGCTGCAGCGCCTCTTCCTCGAGCAGCTGCCTCTCTCGCTCCTGACGCCGCTGTGTCTCTTCTCTCTGCTGTCGGCGTCTCTGCTCTTCCTCCAGGAATTGGCCATCCTCCTGCCTGCGGGGCTTAGAGTAGAGTTTGTTCTGCTGACCTCGAACTTCTCTTTCCAGTTGCCACTGCAGTCGGAGGCCGCGGCTCTCGCCCTGCTCTCGGGCCTGTCTTTCTTCTTGACGTCTTAGCAGCTGCTCTTCCTCCAAGCTCTGCACTGCACGCTCCTGCTGCCTTTCTTCCCGGCGCTCTCTCTGCCGCTCCCTTTGCTGCCTCTCCTCCTGCTCCTGTCTTCTGTACCCTTCTTCTGCGCGCTCCTGTCTCTGTTGGCTGCGGCGACGCTCTCGTTCTAGCTCTTGTCTCTGTTTCTGCTCTTCTTCCCGGACCTGCCTCTCTCTCTGTCTTTCCCTCCCGGGTCTTTGCAGCTGCTCTTCCTCCAGGCGCTGCCTCTCGCGCTCCTGGAGATGTCTTTCTTGCTCTTGTCGCTGCAGCTGCTCTTCCTTAGAGGCCCCTGGCCTCTCCAGCTCCTGGCGCTCTTCGCTACGCTGCGGCTCGCGTTCCTGTTGCGCTCGCTGCAGCTCTTCTTTCTCTTGGAGCTGCCTCTCCCGGGCGCCGCGCCTCCTCTGGTCTTCCTCTTCTGACCTTTCCCTCCTTTCCTCTAGTTTAACTCGTCTCTTCTCTTCGTTCCCCGTGGCCTGGCTAAGCGCGTAATAGCAAGCTTGAGCTATTTTGAACACTAGCAAGAGAAACTCTTTGAAATCAACACGCCCGTTACAATCTCGATCTAGAAGTTGCAGGACCAATTCCACGGTCTGGGGGTCATGTGGTCTCTGTAGGAAAATAGAGGGAAAAGAAAATTTTGACAATCTAATTCAAGTTTCTGGATCCCAAGAATAGTATGAGAACTTTTAGTGACCCCTGTATGTTTTGTGAGGTTTTACTACCTAAAAGATTCTTTTTCAAGCAATATGAATATCGCCTAGAAGACTTCGGTTCAACTCCCACCTCTGATGCTTACAACTTGTATGACCATGGGCAAATCATTAGTCTCCTCTGTAAGATAAGAGGAGTCGGACCAGATGGTTTTTGAGGTCCTTTATAGCTCGTGATCTATGATCCTATGTACTCCCACTTCTACTGCTTATTAACTATAAGACCTTGGACAAGTCACTAAAACTCTGAGCCCAAATTTCCTCAACTCTAAAATGAAGGGGTTGACCCAGATGGTCTCTGAGATCCCTTCCAGCTCTCTCTCAGTGATTCAATATTGCAAGTCTTGTTGTCCCTCTGTAAGGTGGGCATTTTATTTTAAAGGTCATAGACACTGGGAATTGTCATGTCTTCTTGGTGTTGTTCAGTCTTTTCAGACTCTTCATGTCCCCACTTGGGGTTTTCTTGGCAAAGATACTGGAGTGGTTTGCCATTGCCTTCTCCAGCTCATTTTACAGATAAGGAAACTGAGGTAAACAGGATTAAGTGATTTGCCCAGGGTCATACAGCTAATAAGTGTCTGGGGTTGGATTTGAACTCCCAGTGCTCTATTCACTGCATTAGCTAGCTGCTCTCAATTGTCCTATCTAGTATCCATCCATCCACCATCTATCTATCTATCTATCTATCTATCTATCTATCTATCTATCTATC